TATATATATATATGTGTGTATATAATACCTTTGTAAATGCTCAGAATGTTCCTGTGTTTTCATAAATGAGTGCCTACAGATAAAAACTGTCTAATTTCTTTATTCCAGAAAGCTTTCACTCCATTTTTCATGCCTGTAATGCTCGTACTCATCTCAACCTAACCCACTTACTGTCTTTCCACAAACACTCGTCTTTGTCCCAATTTTCAACTCGCCTTCTCTTCGAAAAACTTCCAAATATTCCACTAACCCCTTTTTCAGATCCTCTGACTTGCACACTTATTTCTTTCTCAGAAACATCAGCATTTTTCAGCTACCACTTCTGCCTTTCATGTGTTTTTATTCTATGCATTTCTCACTCTTCCAGCTTATTTTCTGTTGTGTGTGTGAAGTTTTTAAAGGGTTTAGCTCATTTGATTCCCTCTACTGCTTCAGCAGAATCCCCCCCACCTGCCCTTGTTGTGCCTCTTCTTCTCCAAAGCTTTCAAATGATCTAATCTGTCCTACTTTCTTTTCCCGTTAACCTCCTTTCACTTTCACATACCTCTGCATCATCTCCTGCTATTTTATGTCTTCCCTCATCCTCTCCAAGAACTCTCACATTTTTTTCCTCTCTCAATAATATTTTGACTTTCTCTCATTAAACCAAATCAAACCCAGTCTTTTTTTCTTACAAATCCCCCTATGCTGATTTCTTATCTTCCTCCCACATTGTTTTCCTTTAGGTTGTCTTGCTTCACCTCTTTCTTTCTCAAAAACCTTGAATGATTTCGTTCTCCACCCATAATTGAGCTTTCTTTGCTGAACATTTTCACTGATCCTTCTTTTATTTCCCTGTCTCTACAGAGCTTTTGACACATCGCCACATTTCTCTCTCTCTCACTACTTGTCTTCCTTCTCTCTGTGGTCATTAGCAGCTTTGCCAAAAGGCAAACAGAGTGTAGCAGCAATATGCAGTACATCAATGTCCTACTTAACTGGCCTGCTTTTAGATCCAAGTCCTTCTATCTAGGCCAGGGTCCAGTGTGAGGCTCAACAGGTCCTTTGGTGTTCCACTGGCTGAGAAAAAGCACCAGCAAAAAGCCTGAGCTGTAAAATGTCTAACAGTGTGTGGAACACATGGTTTGCACAGATGCTGGTTATTGCTGTTGGGTCACTTTGAAAAGAAAAATATTTTAAAGTTTGCTTAATGTTTATGGCACCATCTGAAAAATTTGAAACTGACGAATATAAAACAATTAACAGGTTGTGACCACTCTGACAGGCTTTAAGCTAAATGCTCATGTAAACATGTAGAATCCTAATGTTAACTGGTAATGTTTTTAGTGGTCCTCAGTCATCTTTTAAACCCAACAATCAGCAGCTCGTTCAACATGCTACAAACAGACTCACAACAAAAGGAGAGAACACATTAAAACTTCAATGATTGCCAGCTACAGAACATAAAGCTGGTCTTCTGACTTCCTACAAGCATGAATACAAAAACTGTTTAGTCACAAAATTGGTCTAAAGGTGCTATCACATAGCACATCGCTCTGAAACCAGTTATTCTATTTTATTCTATTCTCAGTGGATGGTGTCATACAGTGATGCACCAAGAAAAGCACAGAAATTGGGAGCTCTGGTAGATTATGAGGACAAAGTTTGACAAACGCGCAGTTAATGTGGCTCAATTGAACTCCCATTGAACCCAGCACGTCCTGTGTGGAAGTCCCATGATGTATACCACATTTTAGCATCACTTTTATTTGAACTTGAACTGAATATCAAGATGTATTCACCGACATTTAGAATTAGTGTCTCAGACCATGTTTCTACATCCTGTGAATCATTTTGCCACCATGTAGGTTGTTCAACCCCAACCTTGAAATCTGCTACTGCTCTGAATCATCTGGACATCATCTCACTTCCACCAGTCAGGATGAGACTCGTCACTAGGCTTGACTGTGATGAGTCAGTTCTCGCAGGAAACTGCGTAACGTTTGACTGAGTTCCCCCATCCAGCAGCCTCTTGGGTAAAAAGCAGGCCTGCTAAGGGTTCATGGGATTAATGCCCAGAATCTGTCTGCAAATGTGAAATCTCAGGATCGTGAGACGTTTCCTGTTTGCTCTTGGATGGCATCTGCTTTTCTATCGCTCACTTCCATCCGTGTGTGTGTGTGTGTGTGTGTTGCGTTCTCACCCAGGCGGCTGCCATGGCGCGGCATCACCATGAAAGATCCCAGAGTGCCTCCGATGACGCTGTGTGGCCGGCGCAGGGGCGGCTTCTTGAAGGAACCGGTGTACTGGTGCAGAAAGGAGTGCATGCTGTGGGAGGTGGGTGGGCGGCCATTCCTCATGAAGGGCTCTGAAACACAACAAAGCTAGTGTCAGGATGTCTGATTTCATGACACCCAGATGCTCCACAGTGGAATCACAAATCCTCGGGTGCACGCACGGAGCACCAAAGAATATCACGTCCCATCTCCTTCAACCTTTGAAATGTGTTGGTTATGTGACATGCATACTGTGCAGCAGAGGTTTGTTTGAACCAACAGAATTTTATTTAACATTTAAGTTGAGATCCAGAAATGTTAAAAAATACCAACCTTCAGCCTCAATTACAGGGAGATGGGTAGAAATAAACATGAGACGACAGAGAGTTATGTAATGCCCAGAGTGACAAACCTATGCTAAGAGGAGAATAATACCACAAATAAACACACACACAAATACTCCGTGAGTCAAAGACTGAGACTTCAGGTTGTTTTATACAGATTTTTGTGCTCTTGGTTCTGTATGATGTCAAAGGGATACCTAACATGATCCCCTCATGCTCACAGAAGTCCTACACACTGTGCAAACCTTGACTACAAAGGTTGATATAGAGAGCGAACGCTCTATGAGCATTTTGGTCCTTCTTAAGAAATGAAGTGATCAACTGACATAATTATCTTGCTTATTACTTCTAATCCAACTAGGTCTTAAGACTGCAGTTGCGAGGGTACTTCTTGTTCACAGAGGTGTGCTACACAGCTAGTTAAACACTATGTTGAGCTTAAAGTCAGAGTTTTCTGTGTCATGAAAGTGGCTCTTGTGGTTTAAATTCAGCTGGAAGCGCCAGATCTTTTCAAGTTCTTTAATTTACAGCATGTTCTAAGTGCCATATAGATTATGTTTTGGGCCAATAAGTCTTATATGTGCAAGATGTCAAGCTGCTCCTTGCTGAAACCTGAATGAAGCACCACATTGACACAGGAATATCTATATGTTGTTGAACTCTAATCTGCTGTAAAAGTCTCTTTTACATTGCTGGAATTGTAGCAACTAAAACAGATAAAAACACACAAGAATAGATGTTCAATCAGTGAGTTTGATTTCAACTTGAACTGCTGACATAATAAAGGGATTTCCACATGGCCTTTATTAGGCTGTGGGACAGTAATAATGTCTAAATGAATCCAGTTTAAAGTTTTAGAAATCTAATGTCCAGCTGTCACCTTACAATTCAACAGTAGCAATTCAACTGGAATTAAAACATTTATTTTAGCGCTCTGTGTGAGATTAACAGTTTTCTGCAGCACTCATCTTTTGTCTTCAAATTCAAATTTTATTTGTCACGTACACAGTCATACACAGTACGATATGCAGTGAAATGCTTGGACAACTGCTCGTGACCTAAAGAAAACAAAAAAGTAAAAGGCTATGAATAAGATAGGAAATAATTGTCTTATTTACAAAACTGTGGTGCTTTACTGGGTTTTTAGGCTTTGTCAAGCCAGCTAATGCAAAGAAAGCTTGGCTGTGAACTGTATTTGCAGTGTACCCTTTCGGCTGCTGTCAAAAATAGAGGAGTCAAGAGTATGCCCCACTGCAGGACGGGACTAGATTGCCTCTGGGAAAGCAACTGAATGATAACGACAATCGCCATGATAAGAACATGACCGGTGAGTCAGCCAGTGGGGAAACAAGAGAAGGGAAGGGCTAGAGGCTTTCAAAATAAAATTAAAAAAAAAAAAGTCTGTGGAGGTTTGCAGTCTACTCCTAAATGATAGATGTCAGTACTGAGAAATGATTCACCTTTCATTGCTTGAATAGCAATTAGAATAAAACAGCGAAGTCAAAATACAAACAAAGTAAAAGCAGTTTTGTTTCTGTTTTTAAGTTTTCTGCTCAATGTCCAACTATTCCCTTTGGGAATTACTCTCTGGGAATGCCTCTGCAACCACGAGAATACTTTCTCTAACCCCAAAATTAGAAAAAAAAAAGGCATCTAAAATAATTTTCTAAGTGGACATAGTCAAAGGAGCTTGCAAAGAAAAGCGTCTGGACTTCTTTAAGTTGCTTGAAGACGTTTCACCTCTCATCCGAGAAGCTTCTTCAGTTCTAAGGTCAAATGGTGGAGAGTTGGTGTGAGATTATCATTCCTGAGATCATCATTCCTGAGATCATCATCATTTCTCCACCATTTGACCTTAGAACTGAAGAAGCTTCTCGGATGAGAGGTGAAACGTCTTCAAGCAACTTAAAGAAGTCCAGACGCTTTTCTTTGCAAGCTCCTTTAACTACGATGACCTGGATGACTGAGAATCTTCACAGACCTAAGTGGACATAATTTATATAAAAGAAACAACAGCAAACCGGAAAAAAAGGATTGTAATACTGAGGGAAAAATGGCCAAGTATACAAATATTTGAAAGCATAATGTGGGGCTCTCTCACAACAATTAAGTTCCCTTTCCTCTAAGAAAACATTACAAAACACTTTCTCCCATATGGACCTTTAACATACATACAAAAACATCAGACACAGTTTCATTCTGCACTTGATTAGATTGATGGGAACAGAAAGTTCCAAAGTCCTTTAGTGCATCCTCCATCCATTTTCAACTGTGAGCGGATGGATTTTGCTAACGTTTCAATCATGATGCTGTCACACCAAAAAAAGTTACAAACTAAGTACACATTAATGAAGTGATTAATGTTCATTTATCCTGACAGCTGTCAATCAAAAGCAGCAGCCACTTATGGTCATGTGTCTATCAACCCAAAGGTTCACTGGAGACATGGTGTAGCACATATGAGGGAAAAGCAGAAAAAGATTGGATGTCTGTGAATGATCATTCACTATGGACTACTTTCTGATCGTCTGAGAAGCTCTCAGTGTGTGTGTGTGTGTGTGTGTGTGTGTGTGTGTGTGTGTGTGTGTGTGTGTGTGTGTGTGTGTGTCTTTAAGTGCTCTGCTCTTACTCCTCTTACATAACTCGGTAGAGAGGTACTTGGAGGAAGGCCTTTACAACTGTTACTGACACACATGCTGAACTTTGTCTTCATCAGCTTCAGAGATTTATAATTTAGAAGTCCCTGAGAGATGTCGAGATACAAAACCCCCGTGTCCTTCTAGCTTTTACATATCAGCTGAAGGGCATGCACAAGAAAACACTTAGAAAAATCAGACTGGTAGAATTTTCTACGCTGGTGCAGATCAGGCAGGGACTCAAATCAGAGATTTTTTTAATGGAATTGTAAACCTTTTAAAATGAATCATCCTCATTTTATTCACTGCAACTAAAATATGTTTTTACCATTTTGTTCTTTTGTATTTCAACATTTCTATACGTTCATATCTTTTTTAGAAAAGGATTTGTAAAAAGAAAAGGTGAATACCGTTGTCCTTGGTGCCACCATCTTCAATGGTCATTTGCTCAGCCAGTTCTGACAGAGACTCGTCGATGGTCTGACTGGGGCGGAGTGTTAATGACAGACGCTTCTTAATCCTCTTCATCTTTTCCATAACAGGGCAATGTGCGGCCTGCAGGACACACAAAAACACAGAGTCGGCTACAAAAGAATGCAACATTTAGAAGACTGCTTTCATCTGTGCTGTTATTTTGTGCATTCTTGTGCGATGTTGAAGATTTTGTGAGCACCCGTACAGTCCAAAATATCTCCGCTCATGAATAACTCAAAGCTCCTTTTAATCCAATATTCATTCACTTTGCAAATGCTTCAACAGTACATGAATAAACCATGAACGAAGCATGAATAAAGGATGACCATCGCGCACTTGAACACAGCTGTTTTCACTTACACACACGCTCACGCATTCAAATGAGGTGAAATTAATGAGCGCTAATTGACAGAGTCAAATCAGTTTGCCGAGACACACGTACACGCTGTGCACGGCTGCGAGCGCCTGCCAGTGTTGTTCCAGACGAATGCATTTCTGTTGACGCAGCAGTTGTTCAGGTCACAGGAAACACCTTGCTCAATCTGCCTGAAGCCAGACCGTGTTCATTGTGTCGCTGCGGTATCGCCTCGTCAATGTGTGCGTGTGCATGAGTGTGAGTATGTGTGCGTGCACTTATGAGGCAGGCTGAGTGGAGGAAATGCAGTGAGGAAGCAGCGGCAGCAGAAATGCCCTGCCCATGCTGCCTGACCCTCGGCACAAAACACGCTAACCCCTGCCATCACCATGCCTCTCTTTTCATTTCTCTCTCAAGGTCGTTAGCTCCCTTCATACTCAGGAGACCCCATCTGCCTGTCCACGCACACACACACACACACACACACACGCGCACCTTCACTAATACATCATCCATGACACCGCACAGCGAAAATGGCTTCAGTCAATATCAGCACATGTGACTGTAACCTCACCAACACAAAACCATAATGTTTGTTTTGTGCGTTAACTAGGCCTGAGAAAAATATATATTGCAGCATCATCCCAGACTGCAGTGATGTGTGATCAATAAATGCTGAAGATTAAAAACTATTTAATCTTGGCTATAACACTGATCTCGCCCCCTTTGCTATCAGTAAATGCTAACCAACATTTAGTGATGCCGTTCGCACATCAACATCACACAGACGTTTTGCTACAAAACAGAGCAGGTTCAAGGCTGTTGAAGGTCTGACTGGAGTACCACTGTCTGTGTCAAATTACAATATTACTGACAATATAATTATGCAAAATAATACAAAAATAAAATATTTTTTAAAATAATTTATGCAAAATAACTTTAGGAACACTTAGTTCACTGTGGGTCTACCAGGTAAGGAGCAGGTAAAAACGTTACACCTACCAAGCTCTCAAGTGTTCTCAGTTACAATACATGCTTTCCTCCAACAAAAAACAATGTTTTTGTTTACTCCATACAGTTTGGCTAACAAGATGCAAAGACTAAAAATGAAAAGGCAGGAAGCAGAAACTATCACGACCATGAATGTCAGTAAAAAACACTGAAGTGAAACTAAATAAGTGCCAAAATTTTGCATAACTTTTCTTTTGTTCACTAATTGTGTTATGTGTTATTTTTAGTGCTGTCAGCGTTAATCTTGTTAAAATGACGTTACCGCCATAACCGCATTAACGCGACAAATCTCCATTAGCGAGTTACTGCAGATCGCCCGTGCTTGGGGCCGCACTGCATCAACGCGTTAGCGTGGTTTCCTCGTTTACGCGTTGAGCCTTGTGCGTGGGGCTAAAGGAGATTTGCCACTAATTATTTTACTTATTACATTACTATTTACAAAATCAGTAAATGTATATATTATAGTTTCACAGGCAGGCGGATTGGGCCATCAGCTGCAGTGATGAAGACGCTCCGCCGGCCCCTCGTGTTGAAGAGAGAGCTGAGTACAAAAGCAAAGCCGTCAATCTACCAGTCGAGCTACAACCGTAACCTATGGTCGCAAGCTTTAGGTAGTCGCCAAAAGAACAAGATTGTAGATACAAACAGTGAAAATGAGCTTTATCTGAAAGGCGGCCGGCCTCTTACTCAGAGACAGTAAAGAGTGCAGTCATTGAGAGCAGGGCTGGACCATATCATACTGTTCACAGTAATACCGGTATAATGTTGGGCAACAATAAGAAAATGAAATATCGCGATAGAATATGGGTAAAACACGCATGCGCAGTGCCTTTGGTTTCATACGCACATGGCGGGAAAAAAAGCATGGTGGCGACGGAGCATGAGAAGGACGAAAGCAGATCGTTGAATGAAACGGATGAACCAGAATTGGTTTGTAAAAATGCTGCAACTTCAGTGGTGTGGAACTGGTTTAGCTTTCATCCGTCAGATACACAACAAAGCACTATTTTTGGTAGTAGAGCATGCTAGCGGGCCGTCGTTATTACCGTGTTTTTTGGAAAATACGGCACACTTAAAATCAATCCTTTGATTTTTCTGAAAATCGACAGAGTCCCTTATAATCCCGTGCGCCTTATGTATGAATTCTGGTTGTGTTTACTGACCTTGAAATGATTTTATGTTGTACACGGCGCTCGAAAATCTGTCAAATGTTTTAGTACGACTTTGCTAAGCTACGAACCTGCACAGCTTGATGGATTGTTTGAGCATTACGGCTATCGTAGGCAGGAGCCTCGGGGAGTGATACGTACTGTGCTTCATCATAATATTACCGTATTGTGTGTGTATAACCTGTTTTTAAGTTTTGCAGATATTATACATGGTTATGCTGAGGATATGTTGGCTAATTTCCACTGGAAATGCCTTTTGGTTAAACTGTCAGCAAGGATTTTGCATTTGCACTGTTAAATTTTTACATAACTTTAATGCACATAAAAACAGTGAAAATACATTGATGTTTTTTTGGGGTTTTTTGCACTAATAAAGTTGTGGAGTTGTAAAGTATTTTGTCTAGTGTCAATTATATCGTCAGTTATATCGTTATCGCAAACTTTCAAATGTATAAAATTATAATATAATAAAGTATAAATATTTTTGGTCATATTGCCCTGCTCTAATTGAGAGGTCCTCAAAGTAGAACCGCTACTCCACACAGAAAGGAGCAGGTTGAGGTTATATTTTTCGGCTGGACTGGGGATGCCTCGGCATTCCCCTGGATAAGCTGGAGGTGATAAGGTGGCTGAGGAGAGGGACGTCCCCTCTTCTCTGCTTAGGCTGCTGCTCCCTGCGACCCAGGCTCAGATAAACAGATAAAAAGGATGGACTGATTGGTGCGTACATGGATGTTGTTTCTTAAAAAGACTTTACTCATGTGAGTCACCAAAGTATATTTTCTATTTTTTAGCATTTGTTCCTACTATTGGACAGTTTTTGCCACCCCCACTGTTGCCACCCAGCTCTGGCTGTATTAAAACTAAAACTAGTTGAGCTATTGCAAACATGCTAAGGTACTGCTCAGAGATATTAGATTTTTATTTTGGCAACTTCTTTTATTTATTGCTTTAGCATTTTTTAGAATAATTTCCCATCCAATCCGTCTATAGTGGGTTTGTGTTGAACTTTAAACTTAAATCTTTTAACGTGTGATTAGCCTCCTTTTCAAGAGGAAGTGTGTCATGCTAGCCCTGGTGGCTAAATCAGCATGTAGATCTCATGACTACAGACACAGATCCACAAGGGAAAACCCCCCACAAAACAAAACAAAAAACAAAAAAACAGACTTAAGTACACTGAAAATCCAGCTAGTTAAAGAAAAAAATATTTTTTCAATGCATAAATAAAATGACTGCATTGGAAAACACTCACACAAACGCATTCTCTCCCTCAGACACACACATTCAGTGTTATGAGATAAGCGCTCTTTGTCTCCCTTACAGAGAAGTGTAACAGAGCCGGGTTTTATCTCTGCAGCAAACCAAAACAAAGAACCTCATGTGACGTGTGTGTGTGTCTGAATCTGTGTGTGTGTGTGTCTGAATCTGTGTGTGTTGAAAATACAGCATCTGGCACATATGAGTGATGTGTGTGTGTGTGTGTGT